CCCACCCTCCTGGCCGGCCGCGCTCGGGGCCCGCACTGGCCAGGCAGCCCGCGAAGCAGCTGGCTTGCTCCGTTCGGCCCACGGCTGGGAAAGGCTTTTGCCCTGGGCCTCTCTGCCCATAAATTAGAATCCTCTGGGATCCTGAAGAAAACGTAGGCCATGTGGGCCTCCTTCATTTTTTGTTTTTTGGTTTTTTTTGCTGAAAAAGCTACAGCAGGGTTTAAAGGAACTAATTAGAATCTCAGAAGCCCTCTTAAAAGCCTCCCTCCCCACTTTAACTTTCTTATTGCAGAATAACATACACAGAGTACACTCATCTGGAGCGTATAGCTTGATGATTGCTTTACGTATGCATACACCCTTGTAATCACCACCTACATCGAGCCAGAGAACCTTCCAGAGAAGCTGCCTTCGTGTTCCTGCCTTGCCAATCCCACACCCCCAGCAGAGGCACCGCGGGCTTCTATTATCATCGATTAGCTTTGCCTCTTCCTGAACTTCACATAAATGGAATCATGCAGTCGGGGCTCTTTTGTGTCTGGTTTCTGGAGCTTCATACATTGCCTGTGATATTCATCTCTGTTGTGTGTTGAACAGCAATCAGTCCCTTTTCTTTATTGCGGAGTAGTATTCCACTGTATGAATGCATCCCAATCTATTTCTCCATTGTCCTGTCTGGGGTTTGTCTCCGCGTTTGGGCTATGTCCGGTGAATGAAGCTTCCAGCAAATGCATGCTCTCGTTCTGGTTGGATTATAAGGAAGGTATGTGTTTCTCTTCATTAGATTCTGCTCCAAAGCGCACCTACCCATTGGCACGCATTTTAGCCGCATGGAAGAGTTCCGGGTGCTCCACATCCTCCCCAACTATCATCCATCTCTAATGTTAGCCTCTGCTGTGGGGTGCGGGGGTGCCTTGCACTCTTAGTAAGCTTCTAACTTGACTTTCAGAGCAAGATGGCAAGCAGCTCCAGGTGGTTACAATGAGCACCCCAAAGACAAAGTCTCCCCCTTCTGCAGTGAGCCCACACCTCCTGCTGGGTCATAATAAAGTGTCTGCCCACAAGAGGCACCAGGGTGGCAGGAAGCCAATGTGGAAGCAAACACCTAGGTGATGTGGTAAGAGGTACCCAGAGGAGGGACCCAGAAGCTCAAGGGCACAGAGGTCACAGTGCGTCTCCTTAGAGTTGTGAGTCCAGCCTTGAAGCAAAGTAGGTATTTGATAGCACTGCCAAGGGCCCGACTTGGGGGTGCATTCACACCCCTGCACTCCACGAGTGGGTGTAGAGCTGGTGATGCTCAAAGATGGCACTGGATGACAGGGTGCAATGGTGCCGGGGAGGGGGAGGAAGGGAGGAAGCCGGGTGAGGGCTGTGACCATGGCCAGGCGGAGCTGGCAGGAACCCAAGCCCCTCAAGGGTCCCCTGGCTCAGGGCCGTCCCCTCCAGCTCCCGCAGCTCCGGCAGCCAGAGCTCACGTCTTTCAAGGCAGCCAGCCCACCTCCCTCCTCTGCCAGGCTGGAGAGAAGGGGGAGGGGGTGGGGCTGGCGGGGAGAGAGGTGGACAGCGTGCCTCGGAGCGGGGAGCACAGCCCCGCACTCCTCTCTGCAGGGTAGTCCCCGATGGGCCCATCAAAAAGACTTTTTCCCCAGATGCTTCTTGGGGTCCATCTACCAACAATGCCTAACCTGGGAGGCAGAATGAGACGACCCCTCTTGAGGCCCAGCAGTGGGACTACGGTCCCCATTACCCCTGCCCCCCATGACCACCACCTCAGAGGATGACCTTGGCTCCACTTGACAAGTGTACCTGGGTGAGGCCCTGTGAAGTGGGGACAGGCCTCACAGGTTTTGCCGGTTCCACCTGGGAACAAGTTCTCAGACCCAGCCCCTCCTCCCCACCTCGTTACTGTCCTGGGCTTTGGCCCCACATCCCTCTGGCTCCCGGATCCGCTCCCAGAGACCCCCAGGGAAACTGCAGGTGACTTCCCACCACATTCCAGCGCCGTCTCTTCCCACACCTGCTCCCGTGCCTCATCAGCATGAAGCCTCTGGAGTCCATAAAAATGTTTTTAATGTTTATTTTTGAGAGAGAGAGACAGAGCGTGAGTGGGGGAGGGGCAGAGAGAGAGGGAGACACAGAACGGGAAGCAGGCTCCAGGCTCTGAGCTGTCAGCACAGAGCCCGACATGGGACTCGAACTCACGGACCTTGAGACCATGACCTGAGCCGAAGTCGAATGCTTAACCTACTGAACCGTCCAAGCACCCCTTGAATCCCTGTTTTTGCCAAAGCTAGGCCTTCTGTCTGGAATGCCTCCCCCCACCACCACCCTATTTGAGAGGCCTCTGTCCTTCAAGTGCCACCTCTGGGCAACCTCCCCCCACCAGCCCTCACCGAGCCCCCTGCTGCGACATCCCTGAGAGGAGCACTGAGCATCTTTGTTCTGGATGCGAAGGCTCAGGGCGATCCTAAGATCTGGGGCAAACCTGAGATACAAGCGAGGCAGAAAGTGCAATTTAAAGCAGAAGCTAAGAAGGCAACAGTCGATCGAGGAAATGGCTCATTCACCAGTTTAGAAAAGAACTCGAAAGAACTCTTGGATTCAAGGAGTCCTCATCCCCACGCGATGTGTGAACACATGGCCAGGCGCACCACGGGCGAGATGTAAAGGTGAGGAAAGAAGGAAACAGCACTTGCTCCATTCCCAGCAATAGGGAGGGAGGGTCTTGGGAACACAGGAAAGAGGAGAGAAGGGAGTCAAGGTGGTGGGAAGCAGGGCAGCAAGCTAAGGACTGACAAGGGCAGGGAGAAACTCCCTGAGGCCAGGCTGCCGGAGAAACTTGAGCATGACGTTAACCCCCTTTGCATTTTCACTTCTCTGTTAGGCTCAACCAGTGAAGCTGGTCTGGGTAGTGCTCTCTGGTGGGGGTGCCCCCCGTGGGAGGAAAGAGCACACACAGGACAGAGCACCACACAGCCAGAGCACAGAGCACCACACGCTGGAGCACCACTCAGCCAGAGCACCCTGCAGATGGAGCACCCCATGGCGGGAGCACCCCATGATGGGAGCACCCCACAGCCAGAGCACCCCACAGATGGAGCACCCCATGGCGGGAGCACCCCATGGTGGGAGCACCACCTGGCAGGAGCATCACATAGCCGGAGTACCCCACAGATGGAGCATCCCATGGTGGGAGCACCCCATGGCGGGAGCACCCCATGGCGGGACCACCACATAGCCAGAGCACCCCACAGATGGAGCACCACATGGCAGGAGTACCACACAGCTGGAGTATCCCACAGATGGAGCACCACATGGCAGGAGCACTCCACGACGGGAGCACCCCACAGCCAGAGCACCCCACAGATGGAGCACCCCATGGTGGGAGCACCGCATGGCAGGAGCATCACATAGCCGGAGTACCCCACAGATGGAGCACCACATGGTGGGAGCACCCCATGGCGGGAGCACTCCATGGCGGGAGCATCACATAGCCAGAGCACCCCACAGATGGAGCACCACATGGCAGGAGTACCACACAGCTGGAGTACCCCACAGATGGAGCACCACATGGCGGGAGCACTTCATGGCAGGAGCACCCCATGGTGGGAGCATCACATGGCGGGAGCACCCCACAGATGGTGCACCACATGGTGGCAGTATCACATGGCGGGAGCACCTCACAGCCGGAGCACCCCACAGACGGAGCACCACATGGTGAGAGCATCGCATGGTGGGAGTACCATGCGGCAGGAGCACCCCACAGATGGAGCACCACAAGGCAGGAGCACCTCACGGCCAGAGCACAAGGCACCAGAAGCCGGAGTACAGATGCAGGAGGGGAATTAGCAGTACAAGAGAAGCCATGGGCGGTGGCAGTTTTGCCATTTGGAGAGGACGGGAGCAGGTGGCCCAGGACACTGGGTCTTGGAACCTTGCAGCTCCAACATGGAAGGGACATCAACCCGCCCCAGTCCTGGTGCTGCCTTCAATGTGTGCACAGCCGACTGTGGACTCAGGGGCCAGGCTGCCCGCATCCAAACCCAGCTCTGCTGCTCACCAGCACGCTGCTTCCTCTCTGCCGGTTTGTGTCTGTGAAGTGGGCATACAGTAGCAAGGTCACGGAGACGTGTTAGACGTCGGTAGTGGATGAAATAACCCAGGTGGGGTGGGAGCAGCATCTGGCCCAGAGTGAGCTCAGTAAAAGTATTAATATTCAAGTTTTCGACTTGCAACTGTGAATAGGGGCTGGCAGAAAAGAGGCATTCGGTATTTTCAGTGTTGAACAAATGAGTGAGCTGAGATCTTTGTCGCAGCCGCCGAGCACTTCGAGCACAATATGTCAGGGAAACTATAACTCACTCTGCAAAGCCGCCCAGAGCCTGCTGTCCCCAACCCACCCACGGGTGCAGGGGCCTGGAAGGAATGGTCCCTCTCACCCTGTACTCCCAGGACACACCCAGGGCTCAGGATCGCACCTGAAGCCAGGAGCCCCAGGCAAGGAGGCCAGCCCTGGAGAGGCGGCTGAGGGGCTGGGTGGGCGTGAGCAGCCTGATGCCTGTAGGACACTGGGGCTTCTGCCATGCACTGTGCCTTTTCAACTTCCACTATTTTCACTGTAGTTTTTCCTTAATGTGTAGATATTTTTAGGCTTTTGGCACTTTGCTGGGGAGCGTTCAGGAGCTGCATGACATGAGTGCACAGAGAAGCTAGCAAACTTTCAGTCAGTAGGAAGCTCTTGTGCCCACAGGGTAGGGATGATCCAGGAGGAGAGCAAGGACATTCTGGGCAGGAGACAGACAGGGAGCCCTGGGAGGAGGTAAGATGACCAAGGCCAGACAGAGAGCAGAGGGGGACACAGCCCTCCCTCACTGCAGACGGAGGCACTAATCCCACTGTTTCTCACCGAGGCACAACATATTCCAGAACCAGCCTCCCTCCAAGAGGGTTACAGGGAAGGACATGGCCAGGCCAAGAAGAGACTCAACCACCACCACAGGCCCAAATGACAAGTGCCGTTTATTACAGTTCCGTGAATGGGCCCAGCCACAGGCTCAGGGCCATCCCAGGGAGGAGCAGAGATGAGCAGTCGTCGACCCCTTCCCCACCCCCCGAGTCTTGTCCAGTCACAAACTCCGGGCAGAAAGTCTCAGTATTGAGCACAGAGCACGGGTTCCCTTTGCATGGCGGAGCGGCTCTCAGAGTCACAGACGGCACCCCCTCTTGGAGCGGCCAACAGAGCAGTGGAACGTTGTCAAACAGGCGAGCGCGCGAGTTCCCAGGAGCACCGGGCTGGGGGCTCTGGTCCTAGCAAAGGTGTGAGAGGAGGTCTGTCCAAGGTGTCCGAGCCTCTGCGGAGCCAGCGGCCCTCAGGTAAAGCCGTGCCGAGGCCGTCACAGCTTCGTAAGCCATCTGGGAGACGGTGCGTCGAGCTTGGCAACACAAGAAATTCACATCAGGCCTTATATAACGTTGGCTGAACCTACCGACCTCCAGAAGAATTTCGGCAAAGGCAAAAAAATAAAAAGCAAACAAATCAGAGGGACTCTGGCCACAGCACCCCTCCCCACGGGAAAGAACGGCATAGAGTTCTGAGCCAAGTTTCCCAATATCATTTGTGTTTCGAGAAAAAGCTGGTCACATCCACACGGCCAGCACAGAGAGAAGAAGCAAAGGCAGTAGAGTTCACATGACTACTTTATATTAAAGTTTATTACATTTGGAAAATCTACTGTACAGGGAAAAACCCATTGGATTAAGTAGAGTTTTGCCAAAAGCAAAAGACTATCACTCTTTGGAATATTCCTGATTCCAGCCCTGGGGGCAGGGCCACAGGAGCTAATTAGAGGTGAACCTGGTCCTACATGGAATAGCTCCGTGCCAGGTGTGCCCGGGCCCCTCCCGTCACCTTCTGGAGGAAAATGGGCTCCAGAGATGGCACGAAAGGAAGGGCTCGGTCTGGAGGCCACTGCCACCGCGCTCACCCCACCATCCTCTCTTCTTGGGCCCCAGCTCGAGGTGCCCGACTCCATCCTCACACGGCTCCTCAACATCGCAGCAGGCTGGGGCCCAGCAGCGGCCCCGAGTCCATGGACACGAGCGTGACCGCTCCAGGTGTGACTGCCCACGGCCACCAGGATCAGCCAGCCCACCAATGGGGCCACCCAACAGACATTTCATACCCTGTTGCACACGTGAGTGACAAACTGAGACAACACACAAACTAGGCCCACATGTTGGCTTCCAGATTTGGTTCTCCTAGTTAACAAAACAAAACAAAACAAAACAGTCTTCTTAACCCTGATACTGTCTCCTCGCCGTAGATTAGGGAAGCAGGATGGGGGTAACCAAATCAACGTACTTAACTTACCCCGGAAGTGACCAGGTCTGCTGGGCTATGAACAAAGAAACTAGAGGAAACATGTGCAAAAACAAGTTGATACCTAAATGAGACCTCCCCACGAAACATCGCTCTCATGGAGCTCTGAACTCCTCTCCCTGCCACTCAGGGGCGGAAACGACCCCCCCGCACCCCCTCCCCCCCCCACCCCCCGCCGCTGGTCTCCACCAGCAAGTGCGACAGATGGGCCGGCCCTTGGCCAAGCGGGCTGTCCAGGTCCAAAGCGGCAGGGTCCCCTTTCTCTCCAGAATCGGGCCCGGGGAGGGGCTGCTCTGGGTTGGAGAAACTGAGTCAGAATGGTGAGGTCCCAGGTGCTGGCGGCGGTGGAAAAGTCATGTGCGAGAAAGCCCTTGCGCCCAAGTCTCCAGGCGGAAGTCAGAGAAGCAGAGGAGAGCCCCCAGCGTGCCCCGGAAGGCCGTGGGCAGGGGGCCGGGGGTGGGGGGCATGGCGCCAGGGCCCGCAGTTCTTCGTGGAAGAGGCAAGTGGGGGCCTAGCGAGTGACGGGGCAGGGGGGGCCCCGTCCCTGTCAGGCATAGAATTCCTCCTGTTTGCTGGGCTTCTGGTAGGCCCCACCGTTGGCTTGTTTGGGCTCCTCCAAGGAGTAGCTGCCTTCGTCCTTCTTCTTCATCCGGTACAGCATGAAACCCACCAGGCATACGGCAAAGATGAGCCCCACGAGGCCTCCAGCGATGACCCCTGTTGGAGGGGGGCAGGCGGGGAGGCCGGTTCAGCTCGGTTGAGCAGGGTTCCCTCATACCCGGCCCCCAAGAGGTCGCCGTGCTCAGCCCCACTCCGGGGCCGAAGACAGGCCCCACCCCCAAGCAGCGGTACGCACCCCCCTACCACCCACCCGAGAGAAACTCACCTCCCAGCACTTCCTTCCTGTCCAGGAGGCCCTGGGAGGCCCCCGTGGCCCCATGGTCCACTGGGGGCTGATTCCGCTGGTCAGGCTCCATAGCAGCCACGGCTGTGTTCTCCCCAGATATGTCAAAGGTGAAGTCCTGCGGGGAGACGGGGACAGTTGCAGGCTGTGGACGGCCACCGCCGGCAGCAGCCTCCGGTTTGATTTCTAAACCCAGAAGCAGCTTCGGCGTCCCTGGTCACCGTGGCCACCAGCTCAGACACACTCAACCCAGCCCCCCTGGACCCCAAAGCCAGGTACCGCTCACCACGTCACACCAGGCCCTGGTTGGACTGTGGCAGATAGCACGGCAAGTGAGACAAAGCACTTGTATATACATGAAAAAAAATGGGCTCATTTTAATGTAAAGGGTAAAATGACCATGACTCTAACATATAAAGCAAGACCTTATAGGGCTTCTACATGCGCAGCAGGGGCCGTGCTTAAGCTTGGAAAGCCCTCTTTTAGGGGATCTTGAAGGACTCCCTTGCTCAGGTCTCATATTTAGTCTGTCCCGCCTTGGGCTCGGCCCTGGAGGCAGGGGGAAGGTGGGACCTCGTAAGCCTGTCTTCCTGGTGGGGAGCATGACATGCTCATAGTGCACAGGGCGCTGAGTGTCCCAGATGACTGAGCCAGCAGTACCAAAGTCCCAGGAAGCACAGAGGACGACGCTGAGCACTCACCTGCTCCCCAGAGCCCTCTCCTGCCGGGAGCTGAGTGGAGACTCCATCCTCGGCAGCCTTCTCGGTGGCAGACGGACCACTGTCTTCCACGCTGGGTGCGTGAGAAGCGAGCTGGCTGGGCCCTGCAGGGGCTGACGTCTCACGGTGCTCAGGCTGCATGTCCCCATGGGGATGGGAGGTGGCAGGCACCTGGGCCGTGGTGGCTCTTGCTGTTGATGCCCGGTGAGTGGTTGGGTGCCGCGTGGTCTCACGGGGCGGGGGGGTGGTCTCCCTCCCCCTGGCCGTGAAGCCGGGCTCCACCCCCGCCGGGAGCACTGCGTCTCTGTCCTCCGGCCTCTCTGCAGCCTGCAGGATGGAGGTGGAAGTGGCGACGCTGTCGGTGCCTGTGGGCTCTGGAGCCGTGGGCATGGCCGTCAGGAGCTCCGTGTCCTTCCAGGGGGACGCGGTCTGCTGTGACAGGGTGAGATCTTGCAGAGCACCTGAAGGCCAGAAGCAGAGCAGGTTGGAGCAGGGGAGGCCCAGAGCCTCCGGACCCGCCGGGCTTGTGCAGCGAGGACGGTGTGGACGAGGGCCTGCAGCTCTGAGTCCCGGGCCAGCCCAGCAAACGCTGTTGTGAGAAGCCGTTTCCCCAGGGCAGTACGAGCTGAGGCTAAACTCAGCTTTGGAAACTGCACAAGGACAGCTGCCCTTTTCTGCTGCTCGTGCCTGGGGACGGCGTGGTCCCCAGAACCGTGAGACAACAAGGCCATCTGGGGAGGAGCTTTTCCTGTGGCTGTGGAAGCTTGCCCCTGGGCGGGGGGCATACTCTCAGGGGCCTGAATGCCTTGTCTCTGGTGCACACTCCTCTGGCCCCTCCCTCTTCCACCTGCCCTCTCCTCAAAAACGCCCAGCCCCCCAGGAACAGAGGCCTGCATCCTACCTTCCAGCTCCCAGGCCCCTACCTCGGCCACTTTCCCCACAGATGGCCTCAGCTTTCTCCCAAAATCCTGGTCAAGAGCACCTCCTCTGGGAGGACTCCGTGACTACCTCCAGCTCAAGGACTCTGCTCCTCCAGGGAAAGGGGAAACAGAGGTAGATAAGGGAACATTTATGGAAGATCTACATGCCACCAGGCTCTATGTTACCTTACAGCTCCCAACAATCTTATGAAGTTAAGATATATTCCCATTTTACAGATGAGGAAATAGAGGCTCAGAGAAGTCTGCCTTTCCAAAGGTTGCCCAGGGAGTTAGAGAGGAGAATATGAGCTCAAGTCTGTCTGCAGCAAGCAGTCCCCAGGGCCTCCTGGAACCCCAACATTCACTCCCACAACCCATATAGGCCTTTTTCTTGCAGCATGGATCCCGTTCTCTTCCCTAACGCCACCCTTCAGGCCCAGCCAGGGGGGCTGCCTGACAGCCATCCCCACTCCTGACCTGCTGCCATCTTGGGATGGACCCTCATGTCAGCTCACCTGCACCCGAGCCAGAGAAGTTGTCAGAGTCATCCCCAGAGCCATCCTGGTCTTCAGGGGGCACATTTGTGGCCACTATTTGCTGGAAAAAGATCAGAAAAGGGGATGAGTGGAGGCCTGGCCAAGGCCCTGCTACTCCGGGGTCCCCGTCCCAGACAGCTGAGTGAGCTCCCCCACCGCACACATATAGCACAGGAAGGAAACCCTTGTGTATGGCTCCGGAACCCTCAGTTCAGGACCACCCTCGGTCCCTCCCCCCCGTCCCCCGCCCCGAGTGCTCTGATGACACAGACCTGTGCTAGGGGTGCAGAAACACATGAGACGGGGCAGGGCTCTTGTCCCAAGAAGCTCAGTCTGGTAAGGGAGCCCCAGACCTTGCAGAAGAGCAGATAGAAGATGCCTTTACTGGGAACACAGACTGTGGCCACAATGGGACCCCGTCAGCTCACCCCACACTGAAAATCAGGTTTTGAGGCCATTGGCCAGTGAGCTTCAGGGTCCAAGACAGGTTTAAGAGCCTCAGGAACAATCCCCCAATAACCTGACGCCAGAGAGACATCCCAAAGCATGCTGAGCACCAGGGCATGGACACTGAGGGACTCACAGGGCGGGGGGTGAGGGGGAGGGATGGGCATGGGGTCAGTTGTCTGTGCTGAGGCATGGCTGGCCACACAGGACAACCCCAGGCTGGCCGCATGCTCCTTCCCACACCTGGCCTGTTCTCTCATCCACAGGAAGGACAGGACCCAGGCCCACGTGGGGAAGGAAGGACAGGATGCCCATTAGGCTGAGGACAAATGAGACTGATCTAGACGAGGCCCTGTGCTCAGGAGGTGCCGACAAACAAGCTACGAGCCTGGAATGGACCCTGTGCGCAAACAGCTGTGCCAGGAATGCTGCCTGCCTGGTCCAGCTGAGAGGCTGCGGGGCCAGAGTGCAGGCAGCTCCCCAGTGCCCGAGGCAGGGGCTGCACCGGCGGGCCCAGTGAGGGGGCCGGGGGAGGCAGGGCACACCACACACAGCCGGGCAGTCTGGCCAGAAAGCTGGAGGAGGGTGACATGGGGGTGGGGAGAGCTCCCGAATACTAGTTCCAGAACAGCGAGCGGTTGGAGAAGGGAAGACCCAATAGTCAGGTGGCAAGAAGGGTAGCTATGAGTGTCGCATTCAGCAACATGACCTTGACCCAAATGAATCTGTGATGCATCCATCTCTAGAGGACCCCAGTGTCAGGGGCCAGAAGAATGAATAAAGAAGCAACTCAGCACAGTTCAGAGCACCCAGTGTGGCCCTGAGGACATCAGGAAGCCTTAGTCTCCTATGGCCTCAGTCTCTCCATCTGTCAAATGGGGACAGTAGTAATATCTATGTTCCAGAATGGCTGCAAAATTCAAGGAGGTTACGCATATGAAGAGCCTACTGGAGCCTGGTGTGCAGTGTTCTCCCCACCAACAGTGGCCAATGCTCTAACTCAGGGCTCCAGAGCGGCTGGGCACGGGTAAGAGGACTCTGGTGCCAGCCTGGGAAAAGGTGGGATGGAGGTGGCAGAGAGACAGAGACGGGTGGCAGAGAGGCAGGAGGGAGCTGCCTCACTGGAGGCTCTGCGCAGACTTGTCAGAGGCAGGTTCCGCCCAAGGCTGGGCTCCAGGGAGTGGGCCTCCTCGGCGGGAGAGGCATCGCCACATCCTGGCCACAGGCCACGGAGCTTCGCCCTCGAATGCAGCAGAGCGAGGAGGGACAGACAAGCAGACAAGCCCTTTGGCCTCCGGAGGCTGCCTGGGGCAGAGCTGGACCAGGTGGAAGGTCCGCCTCCAGGAGCTCAGGCCAGGAGGGAAGCTTCAGACACGTGTAGAAACCACCAGGCTAGAAATACCACCGAGCTTCCTCTGAAAGTACAAAACCCAAACTCTACTCTTCTTCGCCCCCCAAGAAAAAGGCTTTGGTCCCAGAAGGGCCTATGTGAGCTGTCACAGCCCATCTAAATGATCGGGCATGGTCCCTGCCCTCCGCCTGCACCGCAGGCCACATCCTGTCTACTCTGTCCCCCAGGTGCTGCTTCCTACACCTGTCCCGTCTCTGCCGAGCGTCGAAGCCTCCCCCAAACCTTCAGTAGCAAAGAATAGTGCCCACCAGGCAGGCAGACCCCAACAGGCTCCCATCCCAGGCCCGCGGCGGACTGCTTCCCACAGCCTGGCGGGGCGGGGGGAGGCGCAAGCATTCAGGGGACGCCCCACCCACCACACTCACTGAGACCCTGCCTCCCTCTTGCCCAGTGACCCTGCCTTCCCTCAGCGTTTCCCAGGGAGGCCCTAGGAGACCAGCAGAGCACCTTTCCCAATGCACTGACTCTGTCCCTCAGAGGTGATGCTCAACACCGACGGGGTCAGGGCCTGGCCAGACCACACTGTGATGAGAGCCGAATCTTCCAGCAGACACCAGAATCTCCTATTTCACAGATGAGGGAATGCAGGCCTGTGGAGGACTCGGCGCACTGGGACCATGTCAACCTTGGAGGCAAATGCTAGGGAGGCCTGGCCTCTCACCTACAGGGAGAAGCCTCAACAGGTTAGCACTTTCCCAAGAGCAGGGCCTCTTTCACCACTTGATAAGACTTTGGATCTGCCCAGTCCCTAAAAGCAATTTGTTCCCTCAACTCTGCTCAGCTTATCCCTCTGCCATCTTGTTTACACAACAAGCTCTTAAGCAAAGCTTTCTCCACTGAAACCAGGTCCCTGGCCTCAGGGCAGCCCCTCCCTCTGAGGGCTGGGTCTCCATCAGGGGAAGGGCCGCAGTGACCTCCCCATCCCCTCCAGCTTGAACTTGTGCCGGCCTCAGCTCCTTAGGGAGGAAATCAGCAGAAAGTGCTGAGTTTGAACTTGGATCACTAGGCGCCAGCTGACTCGGGCATTCTGGGTGAGACTTCTAGTTTCACTTAGGCCACTGCGCTAGGAGCCTGTGGCCAGCTGCCTCCGAGGAGAGCCCTCATTCAGGGCTCTCCTCAGCCCTGTCTGTCCTGGGTCCTTCTGGGGACCATGTGGCCACAGCTCAGAGCTGCTGGGGGACAGGGGAGCCTACCTTGGAACCCACCTCAAGCTGCCTGGGAATGTAAAGGCCAACCAGCCATACCTTTTTTTTCTTTTAAGTTTATTTATTTTGAGAGAGAGAGAGAACACGCCTACACAGGGGAGGGGCACAGAGAGAGGGAGGGCGGGGGAGGGAGGGAGGGAGACAGAGAGAGAGAGAGAAAGAGAGAGAGAGAGAGAGAGAGAGAATCCCAAGCAACCTCTGTACTGTCAGTGCAGAGCCTGATGCTGGGCTTGAACTCACAAACTGTGAGATCATGACCTGAGCCACAACCAAGAGTCAGATGCCTTTCCTACTAAACCACCCAGGCGCCCCTGCTCATACCTTTAATGGGGCCCTTGAACCTCTGCAAGTCCTAGAAAAATCCACTTTTCATATAACAAATCAAAACCCTTGTAGTGAAATCTAAATATTCATGCATTCAATTTCCTTCTTTCCCATCCACACACAGCATAGGCCCTTAGCAGTCCACCAGTCTAGAAGGCCAAAGCCAGGTTTGGGCCCGGTGGGGCACGGGGGTCATGGGGCAGACACATGGAGCCTGGGGGACAGGGAGTGTGAGAGCGAGTTAGCCCATCTCCATCTCTGCCACACTGGTCTGCTGGCCACACCCAAGCTCTGTGGGAAGGATTGAGAGAGGGGACCTGGGGTCAGGGCTTCAGCAGAACCCTCCAGAAGGTATAAAAAACTGAGGCATTCTCTGACACTGAAAACACTTTCCATCCCTTTCCACCTTTACCCTTCTATCTGAGGCACGCAGGCTTGAGATTAACATCTCCTACAGATGAGGAACTGAAAGAGACAAGGTGAAGGATTTGCCCACGGCCAAGGAGCAATGCGCCACCTGCTCTCCTCACCTGGATCCCGCTCCCTCTCCCGCTGGCCCCTCTATTTTAAGAGGCCTGTCTTCTCAACACAGCCACAAGCTCCGGAAGCCATGGGACAAATGCACTCTGGAGTAAGAATTCCTGGCCCCCACCCCAGCAGCAGAGGGGACCACGATGCCAGCCCACACTTCACAGGTGGAGAGGGGAGGGCATGGACAAGCATGGGGTCAGGGCTGCCAGGGGCTGGGAGTCCGCAACAGGCTGCTGTTAGCCACTCCCAAGGACAGAAGGCTGGTAGAGGAGCTTTAAGAAGACAGCCTTGGGGCGCCTGGGTGGCCCAGTCGGTTAAGTGTCCGACTTCAGCTCAGGTCATGATCTCACGGTTTGTGGGTTCAAGCCCCGCATCGGGCTCTGTGCTGACAGCTAGCTCAGAGCCTGGGGCCTGTTTCGGATTCTGTGTCTCCTTCTCTCTCTGACCCTCCCCTGCTCACTCTGTCTCTCTCTCTCAGAAATAAATAAAACATTAAAAAATTAAAAAAAAAAAAAAAAGACAGCCTCATACCAAGTCCTGCCAGCTCTCACTCTGCACTGGCTATAAAGAGGGCCACTGTCCTCAGCAGCCTGCACCCGAGTAAGCCCCATTGCCCTGGCCAGCCAAGGAACCCTAGGGACTTGAGCAAGCATCCCTTGAAGACAACTCGGAGACAGAAACTCTTTAGCAGCGTCACAGGTCAGGATGTCAAGTGGACCTCTCAGAGAGGTTCAAGTGAGGATGCTTCTAACTCTGGATTGATGGAAGAGGTTGCCTGTCTCCCTGCTCCCTGGACTCCCACCACCCTGCTGACTGCAGCCCACGGGTCCCTTCGGATCTGTGGCTTCCAACCCGCACCCTGAATCACTGCCATGTGTCACCTGCTGCCTGACTTAAGTGATGGATAAAGCACAAATCCTTTAGAAAGTGTTACTGAGTTCACAGGATTGCATTGGTCTTTCAACCAACACACTGCTAAAAGTACAGGATTGAGGGGCGCCTGGGTGGCTCCATCAGTTAAGCGTCTGACATGGGCTTGGGTCAGGATCTCACGGTTTCTGTGTTTGAGCCCCGTGTCAGGCTCTGTGCAGACAGCTCAGAGCCTGGAGCCTGCTTTAAATTCTGTGTCTTCCTCTCTTTCTG